CCAAACTCACTCGCTCCACTCGTACATACAGCAACTTACCATTCCATCCACATAACTACCTACAACACACTCATTCACAAATGTGAGATCTACTATCAGTCAAGTAGCAATTTTATTCGTAACCAGCAATCCATATGGCGCAAACAACCGTACTCCTATGAATAGCAATCACTCCCGAAATTAACAGTGCGCCTATTATCCCGAACACAACTATTAGCGTAGTCGACCATGCGATCAACATCTCCATTGGCCCATTGCCATGACTGAAAGCAGAGCAGCAATCCATCACCGGAGAACACACTGGAACCAGAAGGGTAGGTCATATGAAAGCGACCGTGCAAAAAGCAAGAACCACTGACACCACCGAGAAGAAGCAACCCGGTATGACGACGACAATTCCCATCATGACTGCTCCGTGATAATCCCGACTATACTGAGGTGTATCAGCTCAGAGCAGCACTCAACTCTCCACGTTCCTTCTCCCTGGTGACCGTCTTCTACCGCTCAAATAGCGTATCCACAACATACACAAGTTATCACACAAGGTCCTCCCCCCTCGCGGGACGCCTCCTCCTCAGACCCCACACCAACAGAACTACTGCACCACGAGCATCGTTACCCTGGCTGGATGCTGTCACATCGTGGTATAATCCGTAGGTGATCCTGATCACAATCACTTACGGATGACCACCCCAAATCAAATCGTCATCATCATTACCGCTTCTCCCTACAGCAACAACACCCGTGCTCCAAGCATATCCACGATTCAGGCCTTGCAAAACTTCGGCGGAGCAGCGGTGTGATTTGAGAACTTCAGATCTACCCCCCGAACCGGACAGGAGCAGTGACAACGAAACTCCAATACTGCCAACATCGAAAGAAACGCCAAATACGCGATGGTGGCGAGGACAAGACAAATTGAAACCCATGCAGTATCCATGGCAGCTTGGCGAGCTCCCACTCTCAGAACGTATGTTTGTTGACTATCACAGCAACTCCTGCTGGGCAATCAAATGCTATAGCTCACAAACATTCGCCACAATCAGACACATGGAAGGAATACACGCGCCAACAAGCAACAACGCATAACAAAGGATGTCACATCCATACAGAAGTACACATCACAAAACGCAATATACCCACAAGAATTTAGACGTCCCCATTTCAGCCAAGCGGCCCTTCATCAGTCGACATTTGGAGGGAGGGTTGTGGATGTTTTCCTAAAGTACTTTTCACCAGTATTCACCCGCTCGGCTCATCAGAGTAATAATTACCCCCACCAATATGTTCCGAAAGGGGATCACAAAACCATAGGGGCAAAGGACTCGTATACAGAGACCTCCTCCCCAAGGCGACCAAGAGAGAGAGAGAGAGAGGGAGAGAGAGAGAGAGAGAGAGAGAGAGAGAGGGGGGGGGGGGGGGGGG